TAATGAAAAATAGAGTCAAATGAAACAGTGAAAAAATATTTAGTTGATATTCCTGATTAACTAGTTATTTATTAAAAAATTTTGCAAGTAGACTCAAAAATAAAACATACTGAAATAGTTGATTTATTCCATTTTAAAAGTTTATAGTGAGACAAATTTATTGCTTAATAAGTAAGTTATACATCACTGTCTTCCATGATATCGAATCTGAAACCACTTCACTTTCTATATTAGGCTCTTCCGAGTCAACACTGGATTTGAAGATCACATCCTCTCATATGCAATTATTCTCAGTGCTGTTTAAAGTATTGGAAATGCAAGATTTCCTGAGAGTGCTGCACAACTTTCTCTGAGATTTTCATCCAACTACTTACAACATTACTGTAACAATATACTAATAAGAATGAGATAAGCTGGTCTATTAAATATTTACTATTATGAATATTGGTCTATTCATATTATTAAAATATTAAAATGATGCAATGAAATTAGTGATAGAGAAATAAGATATGTGGCATTAGAGTTTACTAATTATGAAATTTTACATTGAATCTAAGATGCACCCTATTTTCAGAGATACAATCAAGTAAATGTAGTATATATACTTCATTTCATGAAAGAAGAAAATTCAGATAAAATCCTTACAGTTAATCTATAACAGATATTATAAAGCCAATGAATTAATGGAATAGAATAACTCACTGAAATAATTAAAAAAAGAACTAACAATGAACTTCATTTGCTTTATTGTACAAGAGCTTTGGACTGTATTTATCATTTGCTGAGTTTTTTGCTATACTGACATCAATTTTTTTTTGCAGATATTATAAATAAATCATCAATAGAAGTATCTATATTTTAAAAATAAAATCACCTAAATGACACTTTTAAATATATTATATACTTTGTATTTACACTTATTATATATTATTTCTATTGTTGGCTGTGAAAAGTTTGGCATTCAAAAGAAAATGAATTATATTTAAACTAACAAAACTAATACATCTGAATTAATGAATGCACCTTTAACAGGGGGGTGAAGTTTAAACAACAACTGACATGTTTTAACCTGGTAAATGAGCAATCTTCAGATTGAATTGTTGAAACAGGAATGCTGATGACAGAAAGAAGATGAGATAGATTTTGATGAAGTAAACAATCATGGGAAGTGAACTATGATGGCAGTGGTTGATGTGAAAAACTACAAAGATATTGCCAGGCAAGGGAAGGGAATTCTTGTTCCTGCTGTTTATATAGGTTATAAATTTGGTTAATGTATATGTATTATAAATTTCACAATTCTCTATGATGCTGGCATCAGAGGGATGAAATAGTTCTGATGATTTTGGCTGCCTGCTGATCTACCTTTGTCCTTACTAATATGTCAATAGCAAATATCAACATACCTTAACTAAATGTACTGAATTACAGTAATTAATAATTTAGATGAAATTAACATAAAATGTGCTTAAAAATATCAATATATATTCATAAAGCTGAAGGAATAAGATAAAAAAATTTCTCAATGATTTTGGGGTATATAAGTTAAGACCATTATGTATATATGTAAACAATCTTACAGAGTTTGATGATAAAATGAGAACTATCCACAACTTAGATGACCCTCAAAATAAATAGTGTAGTTGAAGAAAAGAACTTGTCAGATTGTCACAACTGCTTTTGCACTAATATGGTAGTATTTCTACTTGTTTACAATGACATTGTAAACAGGTTCAGTAACACATAAATATCAGCTCAAGAAAGTTCAGGCAGTAAATTATCTCATAACTTACTTTCTGATAATGAAGAACAAAAGTAAATAAGTAGCTCAGGAATATACAGTATCTTACAATTAGTTATGTGCCGGATCGTTAAAAATGTATATCCGTAGAAACGGATACAGATACGGATCATTAGTGTCTAGATCCATGGATATGGATCTCAACTTTCGTACTCAGTCAGCGCCAGTGCGCGTGACCTTGGACCGATAGTTGACACTTTGCGTTAGTAACATGACGTGTTTTGACTTGTACTGCATGTGTTTTTGTTTATAGTTTAGTGCAGCGTTTCTCAAAGTGGGCGATAACGCCCCCTTGTGGTCGCTGGAGGCTTTCAGGGGGGCAGTAGAAGGCTCAAAGAGAATTGGGGGGCGTTAAGGAAATATAGAGGGGCGACGGCAGACAAATTCTATATATAAAAATTCGACGGAATATATATAAAATATGTTGACATATAAAATGTTGACATTTATATATTTTTTATTTTTTATTGAAGGTCACAACTTGAATATTTCTAACACATTGACTTTTATTTTAGCTCAGCGTTTCTCAAAGTAAGCAATAACGCCCCCTTCTGGCGCGATGAATAGATCTATGATAGAGGCAGGGTATTGAACGGTGACCAAAGGCAAAATTGGGGCTGATAAGAGGAAACATTGCGTTTAATGGTTTCCAGATGATGAGAACAATGTACAGTAAGGGCACAAAGTGTGAGATTCATAGAAAAGTTTTCCTAAGAATATTTCCAATCCTTTTCTTACACAAGAGAAAATGGGTTAGGGGGCGTTGGGTATAACTTTATGGAACAAAGGGGGCGGTGGATCGAAAAAGTTTGAGAATCACTGGTTTAGTGTAACACGGGATAGCATAGATTACGCTTGTATCTTTGGAGAGTGTTGAGTTAAATTAAAATAAAAACAATGTCGACAAAAAAGTTTAGTAGTGTAATATGGAAATATTTTACAATAGTAAATGAATTTTGCATGATAAAATTTTTGCAATATGAATGTGCCAAATATGTGATTTTAAGAAGTAAAAAGCGATTTGAATTGAAGTTATTAGTATTTTATTGCTACCTATCTTTAAAATTTCATATAAGTAATGAAATTCATTAAGATAAAAGATCCGTTAAAGATCTGCTAAAAAGTAACGGATATGGATATTTTTTTCCCCCTCGGATATCTGTGGATACGGATACCCAGCACATCTTATACCTATCCAATATTATGAGTATACCTACGAACTACCAAATAAGTATAAGAAATGTAGTTTCTATAACTTTCTAACTTTATGTATAAATTACAGCAGAAATATATGTATGTTTTTTGAAATTTTTAATTAATTTCAAACATTACTTCTAACGAGATCAGAAAGAGAACTTCAAAAGAGAAGTCAATAGTTTTAATTATCATTTAAAGACACAATTTTCCTATGATTCAAACAAAATTATTCACAGATAAGCTAAAGAAAATGCATTTTTCCTAACAACATAAAACTTTATTTTCAATAGCAGTAACACAACTGATGAAGTTTTCTGTGTTTTTCTCAAAAATACAAAATCATAACAAGTCCCTTTTTTTTATCTCATTGCTTCAAATATAAACCTAATCAGTGTAATAATGTCATTGATATTAAATGCATTGGTTGAAATTACTTTTAAAAGATTTTCTTTCAATGAAATGAATTAAATTTTAGTGAAAAATACTTCTGTTTTAATATAATAAATTCAAATATAAATGCTTAATTAAATTAATATGCCTCAATGTTCTTAATTTATTCAAATATTATTTATTTATCATCAGTCACACAGATTAAAATTGTTTTATTTGGTAAATGTAAATAAAACAATTTTAATCTGTGTGACTGAGTTGTACTAATCTTAAATGCCAGTTTAATAAGTCCTATTAATAGAAATAGACATTGTACTGGTGAATGAAATATTTGAATAAATGCAAATACTGTAAAAACAGGTAGAATATGTTTACATTTATGACCAAAAAATTCCAGCATTTACAACAAAGTCACATTCAAATTCTAACAAGGAAATATTTATTTACTGAATTATTATTAGTAATTTCTCAATCTTTAAAGAATATTTACACTTCATATCATTTTGAATTAAATTATTCCACCTTATTCTAATGACTTCAGCATCATATTTTACATAAAAATAATATAAATAATTATTTTATACAGATTTTTGATTTTAAACCAAAATTTTTATTAAAAAATTGATTCCATAAAATATTCAGTTACTATTTTTGGAAATTATAACAAACTGGACCAACCTTTACATATAAAAATATTTTTATGAAAAGAATTAACAACACAATACATAAGTATATTTTTATGTAGCTACCTTGGTTAAATCAAATGTTTTTGGTTCAAATAATTACAAAATTTCATTGAATTTTTGACAACCACAAATATCAAATATCACAATAAATAAGTTTTTTGAATTAACATTCACTTTTGACTGTCATGATATTTGCTACATATACAGTAATACCTTGACTTATACTACCCTGACTTACGTGAACCCGGAGTAACACGATTTTCAAATCTCGTCGATTCGTCTTTTGTTTCAGCGCCACGCAACTCTTGATTACTCACTAACCCCACACTGTTGTTCAGCTTACATGTTCAGACGTGTCATGCAGAATTGACACACAGCTACAATTTATTTTGTGTTATTTATTTCTGTGTTTCTTATATCTACGGAGACTTGAGAGACTCTATGTGGTGATTTCTTGTAATTGTGAACGAATCAAAAGATGAGATAAGATTAACGAGAACATTTATTAGCTTACATACATCCGACTTAGATTTTACACAAATTGTGAAATTATACCCCGACTTACGCAAATTTGACTTACGCGGTTATTGCTCGGTCCCACCTATCGTGTAAGTTCAGGGTATTACTGTATCTAAAAATTAATTTTTAAATAAATTGTTTAAAAACAAATTTAATGGTTTAAATTTCTTAATAATCCATTTACTCTCCCTTAATTTTATAAATACTTGTTTTAATACTTTGTTATAGATAAAAATAACTTTATGTATAAAATATGATTTTTATAGTTAAAATTTTAAAATAATATAAGAAAATACACTTTTCACATAAATAATCAAAATATTATCTCAGTTTTAGAAATATTCAAATATCATAATAAATAAATTTTCAGTTTAAATAGCTAAAATATAACCTATATATAAGTGAATACTTGTTCAATTTTTTTAATCAAAAAATAAACAAAAAGTAAAACTTACTGTTCCTGTTAATTCTAGTATTTTTGTTTGTATTCTAAGTAATTTTTCTCTTTGATATTCATAACTAAAATGCAATAAGATTATCGTAAATGCCATTGCAAATATTTCTTCATAAAAATTTTTAAAAACTTACCTTGCTTCTCTTATTAAATTAATCCAATTATCACAGTGCTTCTGTGTGATGCAACTAAAATAATGACGTTTATCTAATTCATCTGCAAACGCTATAATAAAAATAATTAAATGTAAAAATAAATATTTAGATTTTATTAATTCCAACATACAGTAAGACCACACTTAACGTGGAAGATGCGTTCCTAGATGACAAAGTGCTAAATGTGTTAAATGAGGTTATTTTAACATCACAGAGTAAATAGGTATAGGGGAACACATGACCAAAATTAAACAAATTTTACTTTAATTTAAAATATATAATTATGCAAATCAATATAAAAATATGTTAAATAACACCTAAACATACGCGCACAGAAATGTAAAGTTCATTTTTTGTGACAACGATCCTGACTTTTCTGAAATTCTGTTTTTTTGCAATAAAGTCGTGAAGTTTCATTTGTGGCTTTTTTCTTTCCTTAAGTAAATGTCAGTAGCAGAAGATCGCATCCAAAATGCCTCGTTTTGCTTTTGCACTCCTTTCAAAATCTGGATCATTTGCTACAATTTGATCAACAATTTTGGTTATCATTACCAAATTTTTATTAAAGGAAATCTGTAGAGAAAATTTTTGGGTACTTCATTTTCAGAATCTCTATTTTCCAGTTCTACATGAATTCCTTGTTCTGAGTTCTTGAAAGTCATCATTGGAAGACTCTCACCAGAAACCTATGGTAACTTCTCAATATCCTGCTCATCTACATCTCCTAGTCCTGCTGTATTGATTAGTTGACAATTTAGTCAACATAATGATAGAGTGATAGGCTCTTCTCATTGAGAATTCTTGTATCCTGTAGCCACAACTTCTTCCACACTTCTTTGTGCATTTATCGGTTAATTCTTGCCAAGTGAAGCTGATATTGCCTATGGCATCCATGATGTTATATTTTTTCCAAAATTAGCACCAAACAAACATAGATTTAAAGAAAGTACACCTTTTTGCCACCTTCTTCTGATTGGTTCATGTTCATAAATAATTGTATTATATATGAATCAATGAAATGCTGCAATAATTTAAATTGGCATAAATTTTGAGCTTTTTTTAGGCTTCGAGCAGACCGCGTTATATCGAATCAGCATTAAGCAGGGTCTTACTGTACTTTAAAATTTTTTTTAAACTACAACAGAAGTTTATTAATATGGCATCTTATATAATAATATAATATATACAATTTTAATTTATTTTAGTTTAAATTACCAGAGTGATAATTTACATCTGACATTTTTAAATTAAAAAACAAAAAAAAGTCTTTTTAATTTTAATCTTTATCAGATTAAAACTTTTAAATAAGAGATATTTTAAGCTTTTCACTTAATAATTGTTATTATTATACCATTATTATTATAATTAAATTTTGAAGTTTCAAAGATATCTATGATTGAAGCAACTATCTTCAGTTTATTTCTTACTTCAGGGCTACCTGGTTATTGTTTTTCAAAACTTCTATTATCCCAGGAAAGCTAATTTTACTACTATTTATGTTTGTATAACAAGACAGAAATTATGATATTCTACATAAAAAAGAAACAGTTTGTTAATATGATTAACAAATGCATATTAATATATTACCAAGTGCAATAAATTTTATAAGAAATAAGATCTGTTCTAAAACAGTAGTTTTTTTTTCATGAATTTTCAATCTTTGATAATCTATTCCTATTGACCCATTTGGACATCTATAATTCCTTCTCTATTTGATAAAAATAATAAACTATTTAAAATAAAGTGTATCTTTCCATAAATTCTCTCAAACTTCTTCACACAAAAAATGCTAAAGTTGCAAATAAAATAAAGGTTTTCTTTTTTAAAGTTATTTAAATTACATTTTAATGTATGAATGTTTTATTAATTTACTGCATCAAATAAAACTAAAGTTCAGAACCATATAATACTGTTATGATTTTCAATCATTTTAATTATAAAAGTATTCACAAAGAACTATATTTTCATAATTGTTTTTTAAATTTTGAATAACTGAAGCAAACTTTACTTGATTTTCTTGAAATTTAAATTTTTATATAAAATATGATAATGTTACTATATTTTATAATTACAGTAGAGCGTCGATTATCCGAATCAATTGGGGACTGCGGTTGTTCGGATAACTGATATTTTGGATAACCGATTATGTACGAAAAAATAGTTTAACGTATCCGATGTTGAAGTTTTTCTCCGCTGCGTGTCACTTCGCATTGAATTTTCGTCGATGTTAAGCCTAACGAAGACTATTGTATCATTAAAAATTATTTTTTTTATTTTGTATTTTTCAAAATTAATATATTGAAAAATATAAAAACAATAAAAAATTATACTTCAGAAGTTAATTTAGTATCAGAAACGTAAAATATTTAAGTAGCCCGAGACATAGCCAAAGATTACAGCGCCACAGCACTGGCAAAAATTTAAATTTGCCGACTGGAATTCTTTCAGATAATTGACATTTCGGATGATCGACTTTCAAATAATCGACGCTCTACTGTATTTGATAATTTTAATTTATATTATTATTACTTGTATTTTTTAATCAGTTTTTATTCTGTAGTATTATGTATTGTAAACAACTGGAAGAAATGATTACATGTTATTTTTACTATTATCTATAAAAAACGAATATATTTTGTATGTATTGATAAAAGAATATTCAGTGCCAAACATTCAGTTACATTTTTCTCTTACAATGTAAACTTTGGATTGTTGACATTAAAAATATCAATGCAATTAAATTTTCAATTAATTTTATATATTATAATGGTTTATTAATAATAATGAATTGTTAAATTAATTTGTGGTCATTATCTATGCTTTAGTTGCATTCCTGGTGCAAGTATATAAACAGGAATTCATGCAATGTAGAAATGCACTAAAATTCCAGATGCATTCTTTAAATGCATAATTACAAACTTAAACAATTTTTCAACTTATGTCAATTATGTAAAATTTTTAACTTTTCTGACATAAATAAGGTAAAGTGAAATATAATTTGTAATGAAACTATGTACTATATTAAAATATTTCTTTAAAAAATTCAATTGAAAATTATCAATATTTGAATACCAGAAATGTAAATAAAATACAAGTGTCATTAACTGTGTTATTAATTTTGTACACACTTCTTTTTTAAATCCTGCATAAACATAAAGTGTATTAATTTTAATTTTTACATGTAATAAGATTTATTTAATGTTGTTTTACATTAAAAAATCAGTTAATATTATTTTAAAATCACTCAAGATAAGATCATATAATTATGATTTTATGTAAACTACTTTCAATACAGTATTCATAAAAATCTAATTCCTAAGTTCATTTTATTGCCATCAATCCTTTAATTTTAATACTGGTGTTAATGAACTAGTTTGATCATCAAAATTACAATATAGTAATATTGTTTTCTTCAAATTAAAGTATTCAATTTGAAGAAAACAAAGCACTTGGTAGTTCTCAATGGAATAGCATAGGGATTTAACATCTCCAACTTGAATTCCTTAACTTGAATTTTCTCCACGTCAAAGTTTTTCATGGTCCTATAACACTGATTTATGTTACTTTCAACTTCCCAGACTCAAATTTTAATATTTGTTCTATCCAAAGAGATCCTAATTATCAGATTTTCATGAAATTTTCAGACAGTTAGTTGTATCTACTCTCCAACATCAATTTTCAGACAACATTCAGTCAAAAGCAACAGGTCTTCTCGCTTTATCTCAACAAGATGTACCTACAGAACTGTTCAATTCCATTAATTACATTGAACATTTTCTTGAAAGACATTACATGAGCTGTTTAAAACAAAAAAAACTATCAGAGATTCTTTATTATAATGCAAGAGAGGTAATGTACAAATCTATTCAGAATTGGCATTTTTTACTCTATTTTTCTCTAACTTGAATTGTCTATAACTCAAAGTTTTCTCCTGCCCCTTGGAGCTTTGAATTAGAGAAGTTTTGGCAATGCCTTCCAAGTATTTTAACTCTTCGGTTAGCGCTTGTTGTGTGGAAGAGTGCGTGTGCACTCGTTTTACCAATGCCCTGAAAGCTGACATCTTGTACTGGAAGGGATCACAAGAGGTAACTGGTTTGTATGGGGATACATAGCAGTTACCTCTTGTGATCCCTTCCAGTACAAGATGTCAGCTTTCAGGGCATTGGTAAAACGAGTGCACACGCACTCTTCCACACAACAAGCGCTAACTGAAGAGTTAAAATACTTGGAAGGTATTGCCAGATCCCATGGTTACCACAATATTATACAAAAAATCTTAGAGTTTTACTGTCAATTCCCTTTTAATTTTGCCCATCATAAATAATCAAGTGTTGTAATGAAAAGTTAATTTTCAATAATTTATTTTGATTTCATTTGAGTAATTTTTATAATAAATCTCAAACTTGTTGCTTTAATCATGTCTTATTAACTCTGTCTATCTTTTAATGCAAAATTTTATGAGTTTTTTTCTATTGAAAACAACCTACTTTTTAAGAATATGAAATAATCAATGGCATGACGATGGGTTATAATCAGTGCTCTTTCTCTACAAAAGTTATTGCCAGTACACATGTATGATGACTGAACACACAGAATTATTTTTACTGAGCAACTGCTGGTACTATATATTGCCCATTGACATTTTTTTATGGTATCTGTCAATACACCATACCAGTACATTTGGGCTGAAAAATAGTCCTGATAATAACTGTATATAATATAAGTAAATCATCATATTTAAATTTTAAAACATTTTGTGATTTTAAAAATGCTGTGTTAGCAATACAAAATTATAACATGAATTGTAAAATTCCAAGGATTAATTCACTTAATAATTTTGACCATACAAATAATTCTGGGTCAGTTCAAATTCTTTTTTAATATTCCAACAAGAGACAGATGGTTAAAAACTTTAAAAACTGACAAAATGATATTTGTATGATTATTTGTATGGTCAAAATTATTAAGTTAAGACAAAATTATATATATATATATTTTAAGTCTCCAATGATGTAACAAAATTTAGCTTTTAGTCTGTTTGATTTAATTTTGGATTATTTAATTTCTCTTTCAATCCTTGTTATTTTAAAAACTTTAAAGTTCATTTATATACTCACTGATAGAAAATGCAAAAGGAAGATCTGAATAAGGTTCATGTTGAACTCTACAGTTTTCTACAACCAAAACACCAACAGGCTACAAAACATTAAAAAAATATATTTAGCAAAACTACTACATTTACAAAATAATGTTATTAATTACACTGTTATGACTAATAAATTACGAAGTTTAAAGTGAATTTTAAGAAGTAAAACTATAATAAATTTTAAAATATAAGAACTGAAAATATTTACTTTCAGTATGTTTATTCACTTTAACTACCATATCAAATATAATATCAAGATTTTTATTCTAACTTTTAATACAGAAATTCATGAACCGGAAATGGTGACTTTTTTTTTTTATTAAATTATTTGCAATGATATAATAAATATAAATATTTAAGTTAACTTTATCAAAGTATTATCTTGATTTATAAATGTAAATGATGAATTCTTTCTGAATATATATTTAAATATAAAAAAATATCTAACTCTAATATAAAATATTATAATCTGTTTAAAGTGATTTAAAATTACACTATTTGATTTGCAAGAGTCATATTGGAAAGAAATAAATAATGTTAAATAATGTCAAACAATTATTACACATTGTTTCTGCATATGAAATTTGCCATTTCAAGAAATGTCCTTCCGTTTCTTGAAGCACTAGCACATCATGTAATAGACATTTGTTTTAGTCTTCAAATTTTTCTGGTCACTTCTTGAAATGCTAACCTGGTTTCTGCAAATGTCAAAATGGGTGTATATTTCAGCATTTCATGTAATGTCTAACAATATATTAGCAGATAGAGTAAAACAAATTAGTTGAATGCTTCCACACTTTTGTATGTTGTAACTTTTTTGAATGTGAATTACTGGACAAAAATATACCTTTTTAATAAAAATAAATCAATTATAGCAAAACAATTTTAGTATATAATTATTTTTTAAAATGTAATAATACAGCAAAAATGTATATTTTACATTTTGAATTTAATAATATTTAATGGCTGTAAAATATAAATGAAATAAAAATAAGGGAACTTAAAATTACTAATTTTTTTGGGTACATTACTAGATTATGATATTTTATAACAAAAAATTGAAAATCAATGTTATATGATAAATACATTACTCAAAAATCAAACTTCATACTTGTTTTTAATCTGTTTTTGTTTATAGTAATTGCTGGATTGAGAATTTATTATTTTATCAAGTAAAAAGGTAATAGTAACAATGTAGCATTATTTCAACTTCTATTATTAGTACTGTGCCTTGCCATAAACAAACTACATAGATTGGGTGTCTGAAATGCAACAGCTAGATGGATGAAGCAGTTAAGGCATTAGCTCACCACTCTGAAAGACCTAGGATCAAATCTGGGCATGCAACTCCCTACAAATTTTTCATAGACAGTCTCTCTTGGATATATTGGGTCCTGCCTCTTAACTTCTAGTCACCCCACCATGGGCCTGAAGTATAGAAAAAACTGGGTATAAAAAAAGGACCTCTGATTGCCCACAGAGTAGAGAGAGATTAAATAAAAAAGATCTTAAAATGTGTAAAAATGACCATCAAGGACACGCATTCATGTATGGAATCTGTATGTTACAATATATAGAAGTGTGAAAACATTCAGCTGTTTTGTTTTACATTAGGTGCTAATAAGCTGTTAGACATTAATAAAATTCCTAGTTTCGTTAAACAGATGCTGAAATATACACATGTTTCAACACCTGCAGAAACCAAGGTTGGGAAATTTATGTTTTTTGAAATAAAACAATAATACACGTTTTATTTAGAAACCTTTGTTTTTATTTTGTTTTAAAACAGTTTTATATTACATTATAAAATACTGTTTCAAAACAATGTTTTATTACATAAATTTAGTAAATAAACTTTTTCTGACTTGTGAGCTAAACATGAGCATAGGAATGGGAAATTTTTCTCACTCTCATGGGTCATGAAAGCACGTGAAATGTGACTTTTATCACTAAGAGATTTCCTGATAGCACATGCCAGTTAATACTGTTAGCAATACAGCTAATATAATATTACTTGGATGGAAAAAGACATTATTATTATCATCGTTACTTGTTAAGTAAAAAATGAGTGCAGGAAGAAGGCTTGATAATATCTGGAACCAGTACAAATTAATTTCTGGAAATCCAGGAAAACCGGCATGCAGGTGCAATTCAAAATACAGTATGTAGGAAAGAAATGGTTGGATTAGTCACTAGTATGAAAAAATATATTGAAGATAACCATCTACAGGATGATATACAGGAATTGCAACAGTTGGGTGAGTATTTTGAACCATTATAAGTTTTAAAATTTTCTATAGCTTGCTATAAAGTTTTCCTGGGTCATAGCTCAATTGAATCTATATAGATATTCTTTAGTTCTTTGCCCAAGTAATCTCCATAGTGTTATGAAAAAAACAGTCCTTTTCCAAAAATGTATGGAATAATACACATACATTGTTATCTATGATCTATGAAAATTTTATTAATTACTTTTGCAGTGAAGGTTTTTTTATAACATTACTTTTATAGTGTTCAAAATGACTTGCAACAACTTGAGATCACTGGAGTCATGCAAGCAGCCAAAGACAGATTTGATATGGCTATCACAGACTATCACCTTTTAGCAAACCTTCTGGACCCAATATACTAGAGTGCAAAGCTCACAGACAGTATGAACAAGGCTGGATTAACCCACTTTAGGACCCTAGACACTTTCTTTTTACTGGGCCCCCCTCTCCCACAAGAAATAGAGCACACAAATAATATAAAACAATAAATAAAACAAAACTAAATAATGTGAAAAACTAAAACAAATCTTAATTTTTTATTAATAACAATTATTTAATCACTATAAAAAATCTAAATTATCTGAAGAATCTTATTTACAAATGTTTTCAAAATAAACAGTTTGACTGGGATCTTCTAAAAACTGGGCCCTAGACATTTGTCCGGCCCTGAGTATGAACAATGCTGCACTAACTCTGTGCCACACTTACTACTGCTAGTCTGTTTTAAAATACGTATTTTAAAACAGACTAGCAGTAGTAGTAGTTTTAAAATATGTAAGTATTTTAAAACAGACACTATGCCTTCAGTTTTAAAATACTTGGCAAAATCTAGCCCATTTCTGTAACACATGTTTGCAGAGTCTGTGTTAACTAATATCACTCCTCTTACATGGTGGCAGTCATTACATGACAGAACTGATGAACCTGTTTTAAAATTAGTTACATAGCTGCACACAGCAGTGGCTTCTTCAGCGGGAATTGAAAGAATTTTCTCTACCTATGGACTTGTTCATTCAAAACTTAGAAATTGACTTGGACAGGAAAAGGCAGCAAAGCTTGTTAAAGTTTTCAAGTACCTAAACAAACACTACTGAGAGCTGTACATTTCTGAAAATAAGAAATTCTTCAAGCTGCAGAAGCCACTGCTGTCAATCCTGTTTTGGTATTTGTACATGCAAATCTTAAAAATGCCATTGCTTTATATTAAATAAAACATTCTGTACATTCTTGAGTCTTACACTGAAGATTTTCTGGTTTTTTTTTCTTTTTCTATTTTACTAGATCAAGTGTTTTATTTCCAAAAAAACCATTTGCTTTAAAAAAATGTTTTAAATCTGATGCCTATGTTTTAAAACATTGTTTTTAAATCATGCCAACCCTGCCAGAAACCAGGTTAATATTTTAAGAAGTGACCTGAAAAACTAGACAGATTCTGAAACAAATGTTTATTATAAGATATACTAGTGTTTCAAGAAATGGCAAATTTCAGCATGTGACTACAAACATATATATGTTTGTAGTCACATTATATCATGTATTACTTGTACAGAATGAATTATATAGAATCAAGAATGATATACAATAAATATATTTAAAATTGCATCTTACATAATATAGATTAATATGAATAGAAAAAAAATATATATATACCTACCTCTTTTTCATAAACTGCTCCGTACTCATTCAATCGAAAGTAAAATAATAGATTGCCCCTTAATTTAAACCACCTTTCCTTGTATGCTTTAAAAAGAAAGTAAAAAATTACAAGAAACTTTTTAACAACTAAATTTTTAAATTAATTTCACTATAGTAGCATTTATTTTAAATAATTTTCAAAAATTAATTTACTGTAATATTTGAAATGTGTTCTACAATTATCTCAATTATTATTAGAATATTCAGATCATATACAGTAGACCCCCTATAACACGGGTTGATATAAGATGGATTTGTATAACACGGCAGAAAAATTGCGATCATGTTCGTATAACATAGTAAAAGAAAGAATGAGACAGATTGTCATGGCTGACTCGTGTCTCGACAGGATTGGTCGAATCTAGACCAATAGTGGACATTGCACAAACCATTGAGTTTAAACGAGCAGCGGACCTACTAAAAACCATTTATTATTTAACAGCTATAAAAATTATATTTATATTAATGATGTCTTCAAAGTTCAGCAAATTTTTCACAGAAAAATAACTTATCGGGAAACATGCGCACACCATTCGATGAGCCGCTCTGCGACAAAAATAAGCTTAAGCAATAGCATCTTCGAATGGTGTGCACTTGGTAAGTAATCCTACAATTTTTTTGTTTATAGCATAGTTTATATGGATTATTCCCAAAAAATTATATGTGATTTGGAAATGTTGAGTCAAATTAGTCTAGAATTGATTAATTTTATGGAAGAAAACCTTTTAAACAGCCGTAGCCACTAAACTGCACACGTGCCAGGCTATGATTGGCTCATGTATTTATAGGACTCGTACAATACAGAATTCATATAACACGGAATGTATCTACCGTGTTATAGGGGGTCTACTGTATATATTTTTTAACTTTTAGTCTTGATCTGTTGTTACTCTCAGAATATCATTATTAATTTTGAAGTAACCAACATCTAATTCATATAACTAAATTAGAATATTTTTTAAATTTCTAAAAAATATTTTCTTCTTTTATTTTCACTTCTCTTCCTTCAAATATAAAAAAATTACTCTTGCATCACATTCTTGAAAAATTATTCTAACAAATTTAAACTTAAGTGCCAAGAATTAGGGGAGAATAGGATATTGGTGCTACCTTTGGTAATACTACCAGCCTCTGCTACGTGCATCAGAAATCTGGTAACATTCCCAGTAAGTAGCAGCTACAGCTGCAAACACATGCAGTAAACCATTATGCTGTTCCATGTGCTCTCAGAATGCTATTTTTGAGTGTTGATGCCAATATGATGTAATTTTTCCATATCCAAAAAATCAAGATAAATGAACTTAACAATTTCTTTTGTTTTTATCATTATTTTCTTATGAAATTACATTTATCAATAAATATATTGACATAACATAACGGACAATATATACATAACTGACTTCTTCACATGTTCTTTTCTCAAATCTTAAAATTCTTTGTGATATTATGCTAACATAATGGTGCTACAGTTATCAGAATTACCCCAAGTGCATTCATTTTGATTTTTATTATATGTAAATGTTAGAAATTCTTTCCAGATGATATCTGCAAAAATTTTCACTGGAAACTTTAACTTTAATGTGACTGACTGATATTTCTCCCTTGGCAGTAGTCATTTCAAATAATAATAATTGCAAAAAGCAACAGTTGACTATTTTGACTAAACCTAAGTAAATTTTGAAAAACTTGAATACTTTTCTAAAATTTACTACAACTGTAGATAATTTTATACTGTAGATTATGATGGAATTACTCAAGATGCATGGGTGGAATTACCTCAATTGGTAGGGTAATATTCATTCTGCAAATTTCATTCTTTGTTGAAAAAAATCTGTTAGGTGGATTTGTTGTGGTTTTTTTATGGATCTTAAATAAAAGATCATATAAATTTATTTACACAAAATTTTATGTGCCTGTACATTATTAATATTTCCCTCAGGGGGCCACTTTTTTCTTAGGGGTACTGACAATTCCCTACTTTCCCCTACATATGTAAAAATTATGGAACAATATTCCATACAAATTTTTTCAAATTAAAACATCATATAATATTTTCAAAAGTAAAGAATATGATTTTTCAGTTTTGACAAATGAAATATATTTTATTATTATTATAGGTATGATTTTCTTATACTTGAAGAAACACTTGAAATAAAAATAAGTCGTGTTTACTTTTCTGTAACACATCTTTAATTCTACAGGCACGCTGCCTAAATTTTACGCTACTGATAGAGACCTCTTGCGGTAGAATAGTGAACTTTGTAGTTACAAACAACAGCGTTACAACTGAGCTAACACGAAAAATTTAGTGAATTTTTCTTCTGGAATAAAGAAATGAGATATTTGTAGTGTGGTAAGATGTAATAATTCTTACAATAATACCACAGGGATAGTTTCTTTTTATTTTTTCCAAATTAAAAAAAGACTCAGTTAGAAGAAAGCCATGGATTAATGCTGTAACGAGGCTTTATTTGTCTATCTTCATTAATTATAAAAGCATTCCTAAGTTTTGATGGGCATTTTATTTCCAATAAACAGTAATGTCTGTCACTGTCTCTGATAATTCCATTTAGAGAACAGCATAGTCATGGCATTTCTGGTCAATGCATTCTTCATTGAGCAGATAATATCTGAAGTTTCCTATCGGTATACTCTATTTGGATCAGCTAAAGATGTGTGTTAGTATGTTTTCCTATATGTTTTTCTTGTTCCAAAAATATGGCTAAGCATTGTTGCTTGTTTGTATTTATTTTCTTAAAGTTTCTGGTTAATTCCAAGCTTGTGGTAAACTTGTTCTTGATTCTATTTTTCTTCTTCACTAATAAAAAAGTAAGACATGCTGCATGCTTGCATCTATCAAGAAGAACTGCCCAGTTTGAACAAAAGGCATTAATCATTTTCCATTAGTCATTAAGCTGAAAAAATAATATATTGCATCCATAATCAGATTCTTTGTATATTGTATATCAAACACACCTTATTACTGAAAGACTTTGTTTATTATGTTGAACAAACGTTTTCAACCCACTCAATGGGTCATCATCAGGTTATTGATGCTACACGAACCTTTACACTAGTTCATTTACAATTGTTCTTATGGAATTACTAAGGAATTTGAATTAAAAGTGTTTTGAACATTATGTTAAATTCAAAATAAACAAAATAGAAACCATCTAAATAGTTCATTAAATAACAAAATTGAACTAATCAAACAAACTATAATAAAATAAGATATAATAAAATAAATATAAATATAACAACATAGGATTTTTACAATGACCACAGGCTCCACATTAAATTTTGAGCTCTGATTATGTACTTCCAAGCTGAAGATAAAATTGTGGCATGCTTATAGTTCAAACATCTTCCAGTTAGGCTAGATTTATAGATTTCGCACTTTTCCAATGTTAACGCCAGAGACGATGAATGCATTGGTGCGATAATTTTGGCTTCTACCCATTCGATTACAGACCTATCTGTATGAGCTACCATCGATAACGCTGTTGAATAGTGTCCTTTGTTTATGTCATACTTATGCTCCTTGATTCTTTTGTTTAGGTTTCTGGTTGTGACACCTATATATTCCTTGTTGAGATCTAATTGGTCGTTCTTATATGATATCGTGTATACGCCTGCTTGTTCTTCCTTTATGATCTTATCTTTGTCATTCCTGAGTAAGTTATATATCGTGGAGCCTTTTTGTATAGTAGTGTCGTGTTTTTGCATTTTGCAATCTCCTTCATAATTTCTATGCATTTGAAGCTAGAACTACTTAAAATGACTAAGACAAAACCTATCACACTTTGTTTCTAGGTTCCTCCTTCATAATACTGGATACATCTTTGTTATATGTGAATTTAGCAATACTGTTGTACCTATCACTCTTCATTTTCTTTTTTCTAGGATCTGCATAAGAACTAATTAATTCTTCAATGACTCTTGTTCCAAAGCCCAACACTGTAGCAATATCCCTAATCCTATTTAATTCTTCTAGTCTCTCGTATACATTGGACCAATACTGGAAAGCCCTTACCTTCAGCTTGGAAGTACTGTACATAATCAAAGAAAGCTCAAAATTTAATGCGGAGCCTGTGGTCGTCGTAAAAATCCCATGATGTTATATTTATTTTATTGTATCTTATTTTATTATAGTTTGTTTGATTAGTTCAATTTTGTTATTTAATGAACTATTTAGATAGTTTCTATTTTGTTTATTTTGAATTTAACATAATGTTCAAAACACTTTTAATTCAAATTCCTTAGTGATTTGTTAAGAACAATTGTAAACAAACTAGTGTAAAGGTTTGTGTAGCATCAATAACCTGATGACGATCCATTGAGTATTATGTACTTTATGTGCATTTATGAAATACATTTACCAAAAACTATATAATGAAAATATAATAATAATATAATAAAAACTATATAATGAAAATAGCCTGTTTATTTCAATTTTTCCCTATTCTAATGGATTTTCTACAGAAAAAAAATCCTCAAGTGACAAAAAATAAAATTATTTCTTAAAACTATGTTCATTGCACCTTTGTAAGTACAGTACATGTGTTTGTAACTACATTTTTCAAATTTCCACCATAAGAGGCCACTTCACCATAGTGCCAAATAATTTAGGTAGGAAAGCATATAAAAGAATTATTGAGATAGAAGAACCACTTGATTTTGAACTCAGAAAAATTAATATAAATATGTTTTTTGTGAAGTTGTAAGATTAAAAAATGTTTTAATATTGTATGAATATTCAAAAAATACCGAACAAAAATGTTCTAGAGATAAGTTTAATGCTCATTTCCAGAAACATAACAATAAAATAGTTCTATTGATGTAATAGCATTAACATCAACAGCACATTCAGAAATTATAAACACATCTGTAATTTTTTGAGTTATTTTTAAACAATTTCTTTAGTATGTTGTTGCTGTCATTGCATCCATAAAAACATAACTATTTTATTTTATTGTGTTAAACTCAAAATTGTTATATTCTATCTCAACTAATGGTACATTTGTAAAGTCAAACAAGTTATGAGAATAACGTCGTCATTATTCTTATTTTGTTAGACTTTTAGAACGATTCATTCATAACTAAATGGCTGTTTCTAAAATTGAAGATATGAATGTTGCTAGTGCAGCCTTATTCTAAATATTTTTCTTAGATTGCTTCGGGTGGACAGTTATTTCTATCATTTCACTTTTTAATTCACAGTTTAAACACTCAAGTAGATTTAGAAACAACAATATCGTTGGGCGCCATTTTCTCAATGAAATGAACTAACTCTTCCCTCCGTGAACTTTGTTAGAGTTTTATTTGAAATGTCATCAAAGCAGAGCATGCACATCGAGTGATACTAATACTTTTTGAACAATTTGTTACTAATGCATTTAACTCGTTTAACTTTACGAACATACCCTAAGCTGACAGTGACATAGACAACATTACATCACAAAAATCATCATGATAGGTGAACTACCAAAGAATGTCAATATACTTACTGGTACAATATACTTCTATCAAAAAATTAGTTTACAGAAGTCCTTGTGTTATGAAATTATTTGGAAAATATCATGATGATTTTGATGAATATATCATGATGAATACAAAATGTTTCTATTTGATACGCTTTAAATTTTCATACATCATTAAAACTTTTTTAATGTATTAAAAGTTATCAGTAGAAAATCATCATCAAATAAATAGAAATAAACACTTCTTATTTTTAAAATCAAAACAATACAATTTTGGATTTGAATATATAGCTGAATAAATAATAGAAATAACATCAGAAAGCTTTTATGTACAGCTTCACTTGAAATGCAAATAAAAGCAAATGATAACTATAAAAATATTTTTAAATATTAAATTTTAAAACAGATTAAATTTAACAACTAAACAAAAAGTGGGTTAAATTTTTAATGAATTTTCTTATTTTCACATTTGAAAGATCTATTTATTTTAATTATTTTCTTTAATTTATCAGATAAATAATTTGATGAGAATTGATAAAATTAATTCTAATAAATATTCATAAAATTTAAAACTTAATTTACACCTAGATAATGGCAAGCAAACAGATTTACTGAATTGATTCAATAAAATAAGTTAATGGACTCAGTAAGTTTTCTTGCTCAGTTTTATCTATGCAACTTCTAGAGTCATCTATGCTTGTCTTTGTGTAGCTAACCAAGTATCAGTTTATCAACTATGTTTTACATCATCATTTTTGGTTTAAATTGTTCCCAAAGAGTACTTTGTATATCTACTAGCAAAAGGCATTATCATTTTGCTAATATTTGCATTATTGACCTATTAGTTTCTTTGGTCAAAATGCTAAAAGACCTGATGAATTGTTTCTCTTTCAGTAACAAAACTAGAAGATAAAAGGGGGTTAGATACTGTTCTGTTTCATTGCTTGTGACCATTGCAAGCACTACACAATATAAGAGCAAATGTTTTCTACAAAATGCACTTGCTCATCCTCTCACAGTTGACACATTTGAGGTGCTCAATGAAGAAAAATTCAGTTGTCAGCCACCACAAATGATGGTGCGACCCACCAGTCAACTACCAGATGCCATTACCCTATATATATATAAAGCATGCAATGCCATAATGTTGTAAATGCCAAAAAAAAAAAATTTTCAGGAGGTAAAAAACATTTTTTCGAATGAATGAATTCATTTCAATTTTACAATAAAACGGTAAAAAACTCACTGTTCTACAAATTCTCTGGAATATCAAAATGATGTAAATATAAGCTGCAATGTTTTATGCACCAAAAGTCACGTGACTTGCATCCTGGCACTTTAAATGTTATATTTTCATATAAATTTATCTTCAAAATACAGCCACTTAGAGCTGCCGCAAACTAGCACTTTGCAAGAACAAAATGCTAGCGAACATGCACTAGCACAACTGATGATGTTAAAGGCTCCACCCCTTTCTTATTGCCCCTGCGGTTTTTCCTTTGCTAGTGTAGCAATACAAGAGTACACTCGCTGTTCACAGAATTCAACAGCTAGAGCAGTCACGCTAACAAGAGAGAGCGGGGAAGATGGATGACTACACGAACATGTCACATGTCAAAAAAGAAATAATAGAATTTTATCGACGTACGTAAATTACACGATTAATATATTCAGTATTGAAAAGAAGATAGTATAAATGTTGTATATAAATAGTAAATACTTATGTATAGTTTCAGCTAGTTAAGCCTAGTTAGGCTTAACTAGTAGGCATGTTTTTCCCATGCTGTTTCAAAGTTCGGAACAAAAACTGACTGATTACAAGTACAGGTTATAATAAAATCTTGTTCTATAGTCAATCCACATCTATGAAATCCACGTCATGTGGACTACGTTACACGAGCAAACATTGTATAGTTTGTGGCTGCTTTTTGCCCGTGTACCTTACCTAGCAAAAATGGCTCATAGCCTCGTGGAAAAAAAGGCGGGGCTTGAGAGCTCAATGAAGCATACGCTAGCTCCCGCTTCCTGTAGTTTGCGGCGGCTCTTACACTGCCAATATCGCCACAATATTCTTTTGTGGCAGAAAACATCACTTAAAATTCAATTCAATAAAACGTATTTAGAAAAAAAAAAAATGACATTTACAACGTTATGGCATTGCATGCTTCATATATTCCAATTTATTACTTAAAAAAATAAACACATTTCTTTAATACAAATACAAATAATGGAGGAAAACAAATATACATATGCTGTAAAGTTAAACAGTTTAGATATATCCCTTGTTGCTGAGCATTCATATAAACTGAATAAGAAAGTTTGTGAGCTTGTCTAAATGAAACAGGAACCATTTAATTAGCTTAATGAGTTTATAATTCAAAGTAAGAGTCAAATGTAGCTAAACAGCTCACTGGAGAAATATCTATTCTCATCTCCTTAATTATTAAAAAATTAATTAATAGCTTTTAGAATAAATACAAATTAAATAACCAGTGTAAAGTCTTCCTACTTTCTCTGAATCCTGGACATCTATGATGAAGTCTTCCTTCCTTATCTGCATTACCATTGGCTAAACCTATTATTTCTTTCTCGTTATACCTCATTTCGAGTATTCAACTTCTTCATAACCAATGAAAATGACAGCATATATCTAACGTGCACGTTTTCTAGTTAAAAATTATAAACATCTCTTACTAGTGTGACGCCATTTTGTTATTACTTTTGCATTCGTTCACCAGGTGGTGTTATGATCCAAGATGGCAGCTTCCGTAGCCAGGAATGGCGAAGGAAATTTTTATGGAATTATTGTATCTGTACAAGATATGAAAATAGTTAGGTAATAATTATTGAATTTCCAAACTGTTATGAGAATTATTTACATATGTAAGCTTAATTTAAATCACATATTTAAGATTTACATAAAATAAAATATTGCACGTGGATGTAAGTTGACAGTTTTACCTTTATAAAACGAGAATTCCGGTTTAAACAGATTCGAACTTCGCACTAATTATCAGCTATTACTATATATATGTAAGGTTGCCAACTCCTGAGTTGATTCTGGGAGAGTTTTCCATTCCAAATTATGGGAGAATTGACTTTTTTACTCAACAATATCAAAATGCTGTCATCTATTCTTTAGTTTGTTTTAATATATGGGTCATCCATAAATGATATCACACTGACTTCCATATTTTAACTTCCCCTCTCATGTCATTTATTATCACATTATGATAGCCCAGCTCATAAATGATGCCATATTAGTTGTCATCCCTCACAAAGTCTTTTAATTATTAGAATGTAATATTATTATTGTTGTCTTTTTAATACCCTTTCGCTGTAGTATGTTTGGCATTCATTTCATTGTCATGTTTAAATGTATTCGAGTTTTTATTTTTATTCTGATTGAGAAAAAGTAAGGTTACGTTTTACTTCTACATTCAAAAATTATCGGCCCTTCTAATACTAATTCTTTTAATTGCGTGTTTTGCCAGAAAAGTTATTAATTAAACAATATAAAAGTAGGCTAATATTATTTTAGTTTATCACATTATTTATTTAAAGTTTACCGTTTGATGCATAATTTATTAGAATTAAAAAAAATTCTATTATATATTTCTTTATTTATACAGTCGTACTAACACAATACTCGTAATTAAAGTCCTTATTCGGATTACAACTCAATTTTTACTTTAGTTACTTTATTATATTTTAGAATTCCTTTAGAAAGCCAATTTTGTTTTTTTTTNCACAAAGTCTTTTAATTATTAGAATGTAATATTATTATTGTTGTCTTTTTAATATTATAATAATATGTATATTGCATCAATTAGTCTATGTAATGGATGTTAACATAAAATGATTTATTTATACTTTTATCAGAATAAAACCTTTTACAAATACATGGAAGTAAAATAACTTGGTAGAAAGATGTAGTGAAAGTAAAATTTTGACTAATGTAATCCTATTGTCATGTCACTATATCTTTTAAACATTTAAAAAGGTGTTTAATACAAAAATTTGTGGTACATCAGGCATTTGGTACATCGAATGTGCCTTTAGCAAGGCCATTTGACTTACCAGATGACTGATGCACCACAAATTTTCGTATCAAACGTCTTTTTTTAAATGTTTAAAAGATTGGAACGTGACGATGTTTGAAAGATAAAAATTTTTGAATGATAGAACTGTTTTTCATGTCACTACATAACAATGGGTTTACATTAATCAAAATTTATAAGTTTATCATAGCAAAATTTTTTTTAAAGTTTTTAAAAATTAATTATTTTATTACAGTGATTATCTTAAACAGACAGTGTTAAAAAATAATTTAATTATAAAAAAACTAAATGTTGATGAATGTTTAATTACTGCTACTACTACGGAATTTACTCGTGAATTAAACAAACTGGTTGATGTATCAGATGAAATACCAAAAGTTAACGGCATTTCAATTAAACTTTCAAATACACCACAAATGGAACTTAAAAAAAGAGAAGTAAAATCACCATATCAGTGTTTGTTTGAAAATTTGAAAATTTTAATGCAGAGAAATAATCTTTGGGATGAATCTTGTAAAGAAGATATTCCAAATCACTGGGAAAAGCATGGTGATTTAATTTTATTACCACCAATGTCTTTTTTAAAATCTGAATGGAATAAGTGTAAGTGAAAATGAACTTCTTAAACCTAACTATTAAAAATTATTAAAATTTTAATTTAATTTAATAAATCTTTATTTACACTCAACAAATTAAATTTGTCAAGTTTACAATGCGGAAATCCTATGCCTCAATTCTATCGTGATATNAATTATTACTAGGCAATGATGGTTGGATAACTTGTCAAGAAAATGGAATTAAGTAAGTTCTTTAAAGATATTTTTAGTGAGATTTTATTTACTTAAAATACTTCAAACAAATAATTAAATTAATATATATTTATATATTTTATAAAATAGTGTAAAATTTTTTATTTCAGATATACCTACGATGTTACAAAATGCATGTTTAGTGCAGGAAATATTACTGAAAAATTAAGAATTTCTAAATTTGATTGTAGTAATGAAACTGTCATTGATATGTATGCAGGTAAAAAGTTATGTATTTATTATTATATTTAATAATATAAAATCTTATAATATAATCGAGATGGGTTGATAATAATAATAATAATAATAAGCACAGAACCCAAACAGTTAGGAGTTGAAAGTTGAAATTTGGTACACAGTTAGGGTACTTCACAAGAATGTATACTAAGAAGGGATTTTTTGAAATTACCCTCTGTGGGGAGAGGGAAAGGATTAAGGCTTATCCTGAAGAACTCAGCATCTACTATACTATTTTAAATGTGATTTTTTTTTTTAACTGCATTTTAGTAGGGTATGTCATGAGAATGCACATTAAGAAGGGATTTTTGGAAATTTCCTCCATTAGGGAGAGGGAGAGGGTTAAAGATACCCTGGAGAACTCTTCTATTTTAAATGTGGTTTTTTTGTGTTTTTGACTGCATTTTAATAAGGTATGCCATGAGAATGCACATTAAGAAGGGATTTTTGGAAATTCTACCCCCAGGGAAGAGGGAGAGGGTTAAGGATTACCCCGAAGAACTCGGCTTCTACTGTACTATTTTAGAATATATTTTTAGACTCTTCTAAAAATTCTCAACAATATTTATTGTTCAATCATATTTAAAGTTGACATGGGGAGCGCATGCACATAAGTTCGCTTTATTCGAACTCTTCATCTTAATGTTCAATTTTATGTTCAAATTTATATTTATGAATGATTCGAGAAGATCCAGCTTATTTTTGGAATTAAGTAAACCTGAAGAATAACCCAGAAAGGGTTACAAAAACATTTGTTATTCATCATTTAGTGGTACTAAGCACCAGTTAGTGGTTGCAGTGAGTCTTAATTATCGTTATCCTGGTGTGGTAAGCAGATATCTAAAAATTCTCTAATTAGTCTCAGAAGAGGGGGGACCTAATTCTTGCACCTGGTGAAAACAGGTAAGAATGGCTATAATTTAATAATCTTAATCTTTGCTATCATTATTTTTTGCCCAAGCAACGCTGAGCTCATCTGCTAGTTTTTAAATAAAAACAAAGTTTATCAGGCATTACAGACTAAAAGAGTACTTACTACTTTCAAATTGCTTTCATCAGAAAAAAACATTAAAGCATTATATATAATATTAAATTATATATAATGCTTTATAAAATTCTTTCAAATATTACTTAAATTGAATAGAATTTTACAATATTCATTAATGAATATTTTATATTTTAGAAATATGATATCAGATTGTATTTATGTCCTTAGAATTTGTTAAGTTACTTTCTTTTGTTATGAATTATATTTTTGTGTTGTTGCTATGATTTTTCTGTGTATCTGAATTCTAATAATATATCAAGATGTGTGTGTGTGTGTGAATGTTATGAAATGCTTAATTAATGCTTAAGACATAATTTAACTGCTTACAAAAATTTTATACTTGTTTATGGCTTTCTGATAAGTTTTTTAATGTTTATTTCAATATTTTAAATATTTATCTCATTTCACAAATAGTAAACATTGAAAAATATTATGGTTAAGATTATTTTTATCAGTGCATTATTTTACTTTTATAAATAATATTGGATGAATATTTATTGATTAATGGGTAAAAAACAATGATCATATGAAATGGATTTTCTTTTTTATTTATGTTAGTTATACAAACTATATACAGGTATCCCTCATAAACATAGTACTTCTACAACATGGTTTGGAAATTGGAGATATCCCTTGTACAACATGATTTCCAGTTTCACTCTAATACAGTTTGAGAAATCCTCTGTACAAAATTTCACAACTTTTAATTGCAAACTCCATTATTCAATATATTTTTTATTCACATAAGCATTGCATGCTGTCTTAAATTTGCCCATGGATTTCAGAATATTGAAATTTTCAATTGGTTTTGTGCCTTTTATCAGGTTTCAATGAAGATGTTGCTGATATTTTTGATAAAGATCAATGAAAAAGCTCCGATGATGATGCTACTTTGTAAAAAAAGAACTTTCTCATTTAACTAAAATTAATATTGATGCATAATACAGTATTTTTAATTGTGATTGTTAGTTAATTATTAATTGGAAATAAATTTTGACTGCTTTAATAAACATTTAATAAATATTAGTAATGAAAAAGAATAGTATATTTTTGTTAACTTCTGGAACCTAACCCCATGTTTTGTATTAGTCCTTTGTTTCATATAGCATGGATTCGCATAACATGGCACTGTTTCGAAATGTAACTACCATGTTATACAAGGAATACCTGTATATGAAATGTATGAAAAAGTGAAGAGTTTTGTTAGCATACAATACAAAAGTATTAAAGCTGTTATTACAATGGTCATTTTAATATGAACTAAACTAAAATATTATTATGATGCTTTAATGGAAACATTAAAATATTTAAAATGGTAATGAGCAATTATTTATTGTGGCATTGTCACAAAGCTGGGCTGCAATTTTTCATCACAATGCACTTAAGTTTAGTAGTGTCTTGCTCCTTTACATCATACTTTTCCCGTTAACAATGAAGTTATCCAGTCATGTATCTAACTCAATTCAGTAGAAAATTTTTGAATTGAAATAACA